CAGTGGGTTTGGGTGCACTTGGACCAACAGAAGGCTGGTTGGTTTGAAAGTAACTTTTGTGTGAGCTGTGCTTTGTACATCACTACACTAAATGGACCTTTTTTTGCCCACAAAATTTCGCTAATATGACCACACTTTTATATGTGAGAAAAACTGTAAATGTGATAGTATAAATACAACATTTAAATAATTCATGATTCCCATTTATGTTCTCATTGTTCTACAGCCATAAGAAATTAAAACATTATCTGGAAAATATTATCTTTACATTTGCTGAAAATATACAGTATGCATTGAAAGAAAGTATGAACTTAAATAAAAATCATAATTAATCTCGATTTATTCATTATTATTTAAACTTTTTCCTCAAAAATGCATCCCTAAATAACTCCTAACAGCTTCAAGTATATATCCACAAAATGTTGTATATATATATACAGTGGGTACGGAAAGTATTCAGACCCCCTTAAATTTTTCACTCTTTGTTATATTGCAGCCATTTGCTGAAATCATTTAAGTTAATTTTTTTTCCTCATTAATGTACACACAGCACCCCATATTGACAGAAAAACACAGAATTGTTGACATCTTTGCAGATTTATTAATTAGCAAATGGCTGCAATATAACAAAGAGTGAAAAATTTAAGGGGGTCTGAATACTTTCCGTACCCACTGTGTATATATATATATATATATATAGGCTATAGGCACAAGTATCTTGAGTTATTTATGCAAAATCATGATAAAAAGAATCAGTCTTGATATTAAATTATAATGCAACTACCCAATGCATCTATACTTAATTTATGATGCCAGGAAGAAGGTCTCAAGCGGCAAAAATTTTAACAGAATCTCTAAGTACCAATCATGACAACAAACATGTCTGACGGAAACCCCAAAGCATTTTCTCACAATTTCCTGCGTCAAACAAGCACTACAGATCTGCTCTCGGAGTCTGTAAATGGTAATTCAGCCTCTCTCTTCCATTGATGTTTGAATGGCCCGGTGCTGTACTCTCACTGCAGTGTATCCACACAAGCTTTGAGCGCACTGACAGCTTTCCTCCTTTCCAGTCAGAGTGAATTAGCATCACAACTGCCCCTAAGTGCAATCCCACACGTTAGCGCATCAGCTTGAACCAGCAGGTCTGGTACTAAATAAACACAGCTGAAGTGCTTCAGCAGCAATTCACACACATACACACCTCACAAATTCACAGACAGTCTAGCACCCACAAGGCTGGTCTATGGGCCGGGCTGTCCATAAAAGATAAAAGAACACTTTGGCATCCAAAACGACTTCATGAAGCACCCCCACCCCCCAAAGACCCAAGAGAGAGAGTCTGTGGGAAACCTGTTTAGCAAAAGTGACTAACAACTTGTAACATTTGTGCATAATTGATTAATTATCTGTTCAGTTATTTGTTTTTATCTGTTAGCACAGTTTACACAAAATATATTATTTACATTAATTCACATATTGAATGTCACATAATCTCCTCTATCAGTACAATTATGAAGGCTTAACATTAATTCAATTCATTCAATATGAGTATCAGATCCTTTTTTAAAAGGTGGGCTTGAATAAGTTACTCATATAAGAACTTATTTCCTATGTCCTGTCATGTAAACTTTAACTAGGCAAAAGAAATGACAGTCTGACTGTGAACAGAAGAGACAATGAGGGGCTTGGGAAAGGTCATGTCTGAGTTCAGCATGATTGGACATGTTTGGAAAGAACTGAAATTCAGTGAAGGGCAAATCTAGTGAATCCCCTGCCCTACAAAGCCCTGCTTGCAAACCATTCAAAAGACCAGGAGGATAATTAACTATACTCAGTTGTCTGCCTGGTGAACTCTGAAAAACTCTCATTCACATTTCTGTCCTAATCATGCTGGATTTATCTGTATATGAGAGCTAGAGAGAACATGTAGCAGAAAATACACTACCCTTCAAAAGTTTGGGGTCGGTATAATTTTTAAACATTTTTGAAAGAAGTCACCAAGGCTGCATTTCTTTGATCAAAAATACAGTATAGTATTTTGAATTACTATTCCAATTTAAAATAAAAGTCTTCAAATGTTAACATAAACTGATAAGGAACGTCAAGTCTACTGTCTCATTACCTGCTCCAAAAAGGTAAGCTGACAGGGCAGTGAATGTGTTAAAGTTACCGAATGAGTGGCCATGTGTCGAACGAATCATAACAACTAAATATAGCAACACTACTAGAATAGATCATACATCAATAATCCATGTTGAACAGTATAATGGAAGATCTCTAATCCCTTTCATTGTGGTACTAGTGCCAATTCTGGATGGCATAAGGGCCTTTCGCACCGCGGGAATCTTTTCATAGTACCAGAACTAATTGTGGAACTACCCACTTTTTGGCGTTTTCGCACCGCCGGAACTGGGTGCGATTTTAGTACCGGACTGCCTTTTTCGAGAACCAAATTAGCTCCTACTCCGGAGCAGGGTCTAACCAGCACAACTGGTACTAATCGTGACGTAAGTAGACATTGATTGGCCAAACGCGTACGAAAACGCCCTCTAGTACTGGGAAATAGTTCCCGCAAAATCGTCCCAGTACTTTAGTACTGTACATTTAGTTCTGGAACTAAAGCGGTGCGAAAGGCCCTATTGTAGCTCAGCCAGTCAAAACACGTCTAGAAAGCAGGATCAGCCATTTCAAAGGGGGATGGGCTTGAACCTGTCACCAGCCATATTGAACCGTGACCCAGAGAAGGCCTGAGGATGTGGATTTGTCTATGCCTACGCTGGAAGAGCAACTCTGAACTTGCACAACCATGCGACCCCGCAACTTGATCCGGTGGAAGTTCTGACCTCTGAACAAGAAGTAGCAGAGCAGTACTTCAGAAGCTCCACCTGCTAATCAGCTTTTACAAACTGAAGCAGCATTGGGACTGGCATTCATATGCCATCCTGGATACTGCCCTTCTAGAAGATTTTGAACCAACCTCGAAACAGCACACATGACTAAACTAATCCACAAATCAACCAGCATTTCATTACTACGATGACGTGTTTTGTTTTAGGGTTAGATGGAAGATGTTTGATCATGCCGCATAATCTGGGGCCAGACAATCCATTCGAGGCAAGTGATAACAGCAATTGAAGGGCGCTCAGTAATTAAAAACTTTAAATGAAGCAGGATTTAGCGAGTAAATACCTCTGTGCCTGATTTAAAGGCCGGGAGCGCCTGTTCTTCATTTAACAACTGAATCCCTGTCCATCTGCTATGTTATGCACTGTTTAACAGAGAGCAAGAGAACTAGTACAAGCAAATCAGACTTTCATCAACTTACTAACCTAATGGACAGCATTACCTCTGAATGTACCGACTGTGGGGGTTCTCATCCACATTGATTTTACTTTTGGACTGGCATTCTCGGAACACAAAACCTCTCTCTCTCTAAGCAACTGCCTCCTCGGCCTTTCACGGCACAAGGGGTTGCTGCGGATCAGCAGAGGGATGAATGGGTTCTCATTTGTACTTAATCCAAAGCTCCTCATCAACCGGAGATGACATGGAAGGGTTAAAGTCCTCGGTGACTCATTCTTTTTCACTCCAACAAAGAAAGGGAGAGTGAAAGAGGCAGAGGGACAGAGTGAGAGACCCCTTTTTTCTAGGACATTTCCTTTTGCTTCTGTACATTTAAGCGCAAAATCTAAAGGGACACACAGGTCTCGTTTGGCATCCTGTATATCTGAAATTGGGGCACCTTTAATACCACCGAGAGAATCACCTAGAGCTTGGGCCATCGTTCAGAAAAAAAGAGCTTCAAAAGAAGGGGGAGTAGATCAAAGAGTCCCTGCAGTCTATTCAGATGCAATTGCTCTCAAATCACATTGTGTTGTCACACAGTTTTAAAAGAATGGGTCACTGCTGTTTTATTGTGGAGATGCTACCACTAATGAAACGGACAATGCAAAGATTAGCGCTGCCAGCCAAGCTCCTGAAACCTCACTCTGTCTTTAATTGTGGAGAACAAGGGAGACAGGAAAGCAGAGCAAACACTAAACAAAAGAGCAGGGAGCGGAGGCAGAGAACGTCAGCAGAACTCTGGGTATGATTTTACAGTAGCCCTCCATCCAAGATGAGATGTGATCCTCTATGTAGGAAAACATAAAGACCAGTGCTCCACTACGTCTGCACTTCAGTGCTCCAGTTGACCTGTTTTAATAAGCTCTTCTTGCACACAGCACACTATATACTATACTATATTCTCTGAGGCACACTTATACTTCCTAAGCTCCTACAGGCACAATGTATACTTTACTAACTGTAACTCGAACATGTCTGCATACTAGCAACATTGGTAGCCACTTGAAATTTTCCATGTACTTAATGAGTAAACAAACAATGGACAGCACATATAACCTTTGTTCCAAAATCTAATAAGCTGACTCTACAGGCCAGGGGACAAAAAACAAGTGAAAACATTGATTTAATGATAGAATTTTCATGTTTCTCTCTCTCTTTTTTTTTTTTTTTTTTTTTTGGACAGGTAAGGGAAATAATTATTGCGTAAACCGCTATCTAAAACTCACTATTATTCATGTAATTTACATAAAACTCAGAGATAATCATACTGATCAATGTTAATATATAGCAGTGCAAAGTCTAAGTGACATAACTTAATTACGCTACCTCTTAAAATATGCTTTGGTCAAATTCAAAAACAACATCACAAGTCAATCCCAGAATGCTCTGCAACAAGATCAGTGAAAAAAATCCAAGATGATAGTTGATTACTGAAATAATTACAAACTTCCAAAACATTTGTTGAATGAAATGCTTTCATATGATGCATGATTCATAAGTTGCTGCCTATATAGATCATTTAAAATCAGTCGCTTATGAGGTTTCATTTCAGTATGAATGCCTTCTTTAAAAGCAGTTGCCTATGTAAGACATTGATGTAGCTCATTTTGGAGTCAGTGAATCTTTGACTGAGTGTAAAAGGAGCCACTTACCAGACCTGTGCAGGTGGATATAGCCACAGAGGATTCAGAATGGTTTCGGATGGAACCCTGATAGAGACAGTTATGAATAGAAGGGTCAAGGGTGGCTGTATTGATGCCCTCTGCACCCAGTGTCTGTACGGTAAACCCCTCTGCCAGCACATGGGATGGCTGCAGGTCTAAGTGTAATTCCTTGCCAAATGCAGAGACATGATAATGCACTGGACCACCAACTTCTGACAAGGATCTCTTGCTCCTTCCATGTCTTGACACATCGTGGGAAATGAAGCTTCCAAGTGAGTCCACTTCCACTGGTGTGGCAAAATCGTAATCTGTGAGGGGAACAAACACATTTTAAATCACCTGACTCAATACCAATCCATCACTAGTTATATTGATGACTCATCCTGCACTATAAAGGTTTTTGACCAATCAAACAATCTCAAATGAAGAAAGGAAAACTGCACTATCATGGGGTCTTGTCAATACTTGTTGGATTATTTACTTTCCCTATATCTGGTCTAACTAATCCATAAAAAAAAAGTAAAGAATTTACCTCCTGACTCTAAATCGGTATATCACTGTTTAAACTTTATTTAATATTGCAATATCAACATACTCAATGTCTGTATGCAAACTTTCTGTACTGTCTCATGCTTCTGAATGAGATTTCAAACATTTCAGTGCCCAGTGTAGCCTGCGCAAGCTGTGGAAATGAGGAATAAGTTAACTTGTATTCCTTGTAGTCACTATCTATCTATAAACCTACTGTCAAGCATTTCACCAATAGCTCAACATGAACATACATTTAGTCAAGCGTTCCAAAACGTTTGACTGGTATTGCAAATATTAATTAAAAAGACAATAAACTCTCTGTGACTAGCTCAATACGCGGTAGATAAGAGATGAGGGAATCCTTCTAATGCGCCCACACGCGCGCTAGCGCACGACCACCGGCACAGGAAACTCATATTTGGGAGTATATTTATGTTGTAAATCTCTTAATTCACAGGATCTGTGTGGCATGCTTCAGCGTATATGTGTACAGGTATATCCAGGTAGGGATCTTTGGTTCAAATAGGGCGCGAAAGCATGCATCGGCATCCATCACTGGCTTGTCATCAATCAGAATAGAAATACAGTTGAAGCGCGTAAAGACACAAACCTTGATAGAGGACGCCGGGGTCGCCGGTATATGAGACCGATGTTACAGAGTGGAAGCAACAGAACTGCAGAGCCTGCAAAAGTACAAATAACTCACCACAATTAACTTGATTAGAACAATGAGTATAAAACATATGTATAATAAATAATTAACTCTCAGCGTGTCACCTGCCTTTATAAAGTTCCCAAACGACACACTCGCCAATAATCTCACTGATGTGCTGCTTACCAGAGGGACTTGTAAACTCCAGAGCAAAAGGAAAAGGCAATCCATGTTGTCATGTATGCACCTTTACTGTTACCTCTTCAAAAACGGGGAAAGGAACAATCCGCAAATCCATGCAATGCAATAATGAGACATTGCTAATTGTTTAAACTGCCCTGTTTCTGTCGTTCCTCAAGTAAAATCCACCGGGTTCATTAGGGTAACGCGCACCGCTTCTGTTTGCAAAGCGCAGGTACATACAGAACTGCTGAGCAGTGACAGTCGGCGTGTATGTGTGTGTGTGTGTGTGTGTGTGTGTGTGTGTGTAAACTATACTGAGATAGTGGCACCGGCTGATGGGCAAAGGTGGGGATCTAAATTTCCACCAATCAGCGACGACCATCTGCGGGCGATTCAGTGTATTAGCGCTCCTCACTGTCCGACGGTCCATAAACAGATCGCAGAGTTCATTGAAATGGGATACATGTTCGTAGCACTCCCTCTAAATGAACGGTCCGAGCAAGTAAACACACGCTGTCGAAAGAGTTTATGTGTTCAATATGAATCTGAAGAGTTCTGAATGGGCTGCCGGATGATTTATGATACTGTACGCTGTACTGTTTAATGAACGTCAGATCTTGTTCTTAAAACTCTACTGTCATGAATATCTGTTCTGCAAGCGCTCAGCTGATATTTAAAGCTTAGTCTACAGTGAATACAGCAGTTTGTTTAACTGATTATTTTTGGGTTCTTGGTCTAAAATGCGCCAGCTCATCTACTGCATCTATTCAGCCTTTTCAACGTTGTGCAAAACAAGATCTCCAGACAACTTGATTCTGGTTGTAGCCTTTAAAGTCTTATTACCAGGCAACTTTTAAGAAGAAATATTTTAGAGATTTGTCTGTTATGCCAAATTATAGGATCATTTGATTTCAACAGAACAGATATAAATCAGAAATAAATTTAGCATGCTACAGTTCTTTTTATAGCTATGTGTTTACACAGACTTTGAATTACCCTAAAAAAAAAAAAAAAAGTAAAACCTTAAGTAAACCAGATCATTACATGACATACATTTTTTTTTCTTTTGATTCCCAAAAAAATAGGCTCATTAGAGTTATTTTTTGGGGAATCGGGCTACACTAGTCACACGGTTTTGATTCAAGCTCACAAGAGTCATTCGCTCAGGAATCAGAGTTTAGTTGGTTGCATTTGCATGTTTTGCATTAACTAAAACAAACTTACAAGAGTTGTTCTTTCAGGAACCGGATTACACTGGTTGCACTTTGTTTTTGATTCTTTAAAAAGACCTGACTGATATGAGTCGTTTGTTGGTTAATTGCACTTCACTCAAAGCACATTACATTCACTAGCCTGCTCATTAAGCAATTTTTTACCGTATCGGTCTACACTGATTGCTGCTGATGTAAATTTCACACTGTGGATTCAATACTGCGGCAATGCTGAATAGTAGCAAACACTGTCAAAATATTTTAGCACAGTGTTATAAAAATGAGTCTGCACTTAGTGAGAAAATCCCGTATTTTTAAGAGATTTAACCTGGTCTGAATATGAACTGGTTCTTGCTTCCCAGTCCTATGATAGCCAAACAGAGGACTGTTATTACACACTGACTCCAAAGTCTTATTAAGACAAAAGCTCGGTCTGCATTTGGGTGAATTTGAGCACTCGCATTTGTTTTCCCTGTTCACCGGTTTCTTAAAGGAGCTCATAAAACTACCTGATTTGTATACTAAAATGTTTATGAATCACATAAAAGTTAAAGTTGAGCTTCAGCCAAAGAATAAAAGATCAAATTGAGACGTCATAAGAGGTGGCTTTAAGGTAGTTTGATATTTATTTTGTTTGTTTTTCACAATGGCTTTGGATTTTGTCTCTAATGAACAGAGGAGGCCAAGATTACCATGCTCTACACAATATCAACCATATGACAAGTAGCTCAAAGAAAGTCTCCATGTGAAAAGAATCATCCAGTGAGTTTAACTGTGCTTTACAATCCATTAGTTTCTAGCCTAATTTTGAAAAGTCCTCAGAAAGAGTGTTGTCAGATGTTTTAGTAAATGTTGGCTGGGGGCTCAGCTTGTCAAAGCCAAATGCATCAAACCCCAAAGGAAGATGGTTTTGCTTTGACTACAGTGTTGTTATTTACCCAGGTTTCTGTGCCAATACTTCTTTCATGGTTTTAAAACTGTGCCCAAACTCCACTGAATGGAGTAGGCACAGATCGCTAAACATGCACCACCATACCATAAAGCCATGGTTGACATGTATACAGTATGTTAAATGGAGTCAAAAATAGTCAAAAGGTTCACTCATAGATGTCTGTCCAACAATCAGTCAGACTATGCACACAACCAACCAATGAGCAGTTACAGCCTTAAGGGGGGCACAGATCAAATACTTGCCAATACAAACTTCTGGAATAAATGAAACGACTCTTAAATGTGTACCTTCATCAATTCAGATTTGCTTCGTGCAAAAGATTGGCACATATGATCGTTTAAAGCAACTTTTGCAATTTAACGTAATGTAATAGGCAGTGAGGTCATAACTCAGCCTCTGACCTCATATTTGCTAACATTTGTTCTCCCTCTCTTTACATGGCTGTATACCATTTGTTTTATATTTGTTTGCATGTTGTGGAGAAATGGCTTTTCCAGCAGTGGCTCCAGCTGAGGAGAACTATGCCAGGTCAGGGTTGCCCGTATCTGCTCCTAATTTACCCCGTACTGGGTTTGGAGAACAGAGTGCAACACTGGAACCATAATGTCTGATGGTCAGTCGAAGCACATTCTCCAAATAATGATGATCTGCGGGTTTCAATTTATTTATGCAGAAATACACAGCACAGCTCATCTACATGTATTTGATAACATCAGGTTTTTTTATTTTGCTGAGGAGGACAAACCTATAAATCATACAAATTGTAGAATTAAACACATTTGATTATATAAAAACATACACACAACCTGCTTGTAAGGACCAATTTCCATTCTACTCAACAAAATTGTTTATCCATAATAGAGTCTATGTGGGCTGTATCTTTGGAAGTAAATGTGGTATCCAGACTACGATGTTGAATGGAGAGGTCATAAATCTTAAACCATGACATGAATCTATACACCTTTGAGTGGCGGTTGCACCCACTATTTATTTGACTGTGTCACTGAAACCCTAAACAGTCTAGGAAATAACTAGGAAACAACTGCCTTTCAAGCCTGACCTCTTGACTTCAGCTCATACCCTGGAGAACATCCCTGATATTTGTTATCGTATGACTTGAAGGCCTGAGGAAACTTCCAACTTGAATTATCTCAGACATCATGACAAATATAGCAGCTTATGCATTCATTAAAATTCTGAAAGCTACCAACATTTGTATTTTAAAGAATTATCAGTGAAACTCCTTGAAGTTCAGGGGAATAAAAATAAATAACTCCAATACTATCAACATGACATGACTCAAGACAAGGGTCAAATGCTCATCTAAATACATCTATGTAAATACAAATACACAGGAGAGTGGTTTGTATATGTGTAGCTCTGTTTTGTAATATCTATTTGCCTAGCCTTTGTGCTTAGTGTGTACTGGCCTGCACACATACAGTATGTGTAAGTCTGTGTGGGGGGTAAGAGGAAAAGACTCAGATATGTATTAAACAATGCCTCAACATCTGATAAGGCTGTAGCTAATGACTACTTAATCTGGTATAAAGCCCCTCCTCCATTCCCTCTTAAAAGCCATCAGTGTTGACCCATAAAACCATTGTGTCTCATTTCCATAACGGACTTTTTTGAATACATCCTGTACAGCACAAAATATTTTATTTACCTTTATTGTGCAGGTTTGTGAAGAGCAAACAAGAAAGTAAGCAAGAAAATATGTAGTATGGGACTTAATTTTAACCATTGATAATTGATTGGATTAGGGAAACTGTTACATACCAGAATGAAGCCATGGGCAGAATGCGATTTTGACAAAAAATAATGAATAGGTGTTGGTAAACATTATACATAGCATGGCACCAAAAAAATGAAAGTCATTTTAGAGGAAGAGCAAGTTATTGCTTGGATTAAAGATTAAGACAAACTATTTTTCTTCAGATATTAGCATAAACATATGAATGATTCACAATAAGACCAGAAACGTACATTAAATAAGTAAATGTATTTCATATTTTAAATAATATAAATAATAAATAAATAATATATTTATTTTATTTATTTTATTTTATTAAATGTGTATATATATAGTATTTATAGAGTTTTAGCTTTTAGTTTTAATTACTTTTTCTTATTTGTAAGTCGCTTTGGATAAAAGCGCCTGCTAAATGACTAAAAGTAAAAAAGTAAAGTAAAAGTAAATAAGTAAACAGAGGCAAATTTGATTTCAACAGAATAACAATATAAACATTTACAACTGTTTGATACCCAAATACACAGCTCTATATGTTCTCTTCCAATCCACAGAAAACAAAGTACCTGTGTAAGGTATCACTACAGGTGGGCTTTAGCCTGCAGGCTTTAGGTAAGGGGAAGATCATTTGTGGGAGACGAGGCACCTGTGAGTCTGCCGATTCCTCTTTAAAGGCCTCTGACTCTGATCTATCAAATACACACCGGGACAGACCTACTGAGCTTATCTGCATGCTCTAGTTTAATTTGTTCCTGTACTCACGCCTTTAAACGTCAATGTTTATTTATTGTTGTACATGAAAGCTCACAAAATTACTCAAGCAGTAAACATCCACATCCTATTAGCATCTGATTTATGCTTGTTGAAGAGAATTAGCGTAAACCTCATAGCAAGTCTCCATTGTGTTCTTGTTTGCAGTGAGAAAACAGACCAGACTCAGTGTATTTTTAGGTTAGCATTGTGGTGTGGTGTGTTTGACCATGAGAAACCATCATCCTTCATTTGCTCTCAGACATAGAATTTTACTCTCCCGTAATTGCAGCCTAAATATTGTTGTTATGGTTATTTTTTTCTCCCCATGTGTGGAAATATAAAAATTGCAGGAGTGGAGAGGTTGGAGGAACAGGCAGAAGTTTGTTCTGAAGCCTCTTTCTTGACTTACTACAATAACCAGAGAGAGCCGGGGGATAAGGAGTGGCACCAAGGACACTCCAAATACAATAATCAAGGTAAAGATACAGAGCACATGACTAATTTTACTCAAACAACTGGACATGTCAAGTAGATATACTTTATAGCATAGTATGGAACTCATTTATTTTACAGCCTGGTGAGATTTGAGAAAGTAATGCATCAAACAATCACGGCTTGGCATCTTTATAAAAATATCCAAGTAAGATCTCATCAGCATTTCTTTATTTAACAAAAAAATGTCTAAATAAGGAATAAGAGAACACCCTATTTTTCATCCATACATTTTTATGTAGGGGTTTAAAAAATCGAGAACAAAAAATGTTTAAGAGTTCTAAACTATGAACTGATGCAACCAGCTCTGAGTGAATGACAACATGACTAACTTTTAATTTGAAGCCAATATGGATCTGAGTGAAAACAAATGGGATTTTAATGCGGAACCCAACTGCTGTGCCGTATTTATGACCTAACATTGATTGTTTTATAAATGAATGCACTTGATAAAGTAATGTGATGTAAAGAGAAATGGCAGTTACATGTCAGTTTTCATAAATTTTCAATAATCCAGAAAACCAGCGTAAAAGTCATTTTTTCAGATGTGTAGAACTACTTACTACAGTTTATACATTTTCCTTAAAAAGCCACACACTACTGGTACTCTTTAAATACAATTCAGTAAGAACATAACAAATTACTTTAAATTACTTCGACAAGCCTGGAACAACTTCATAGCCTTGAAAAAATCAAATCAGAATCAAAATATAAGATATATGATTTATAATTGTCATAATCCTCTATGTCACATTGACATTGAGTTTCTGAGCGTTCAATTGTGTCTTTATACTTTCTTTATACAGATTTCTAAAAGCCAAGAGCTTCTCATTGTTTTGTATCACTGAACTCTGATTTCAAGGCACCACATGTACAGTTTAGATAAGTCACCAATGAACTGAAAGTCTGAGTTGTGGTGGTCCGTGAGAGCAGAGGATGTGGTATCGTCCCTAGTCACCTCATACATCACAGCCTATCTGCTGACCTGGGCTTGCTACTCTCAAGGATTTATCTCCTATGTGGTTACATGTACATCTGACCCTTTGACCACCCATAAAGTGAATGGCACTGTAACCTACACCCCTCTAGAGGATAAAGCTAGTCTTTGATCACACCAGGAGGCAGGGCCCATCTCAGCCCCGAGCAGGCTGCTGAGGGAGCCATTCTGGAGGTTAAGATTAAGAGAGGTGAGCAGAGCTGAACATTAAAATTACTGGACAAATACACAATGGGGAAGAGAGTTACTCACTACAGAAGCATCTTTCCAGTTCTGAATGAATTCTGTTGGCAGGCCCTCTCTCAGCTGATGACTTTTTAGTTTTAGCTTGACAGGTTGGAATCAAAGTATGGGTTATTTTCAAAAAGTCCAACTGGTCATACTTACATACATATCTATTGCCTACAACATATGATAGCACAACTTAATATTTATCTGAGTTACTAGCATTTAAAGCTGCACTGAGTGTTGGGGAATGCTAAGAGCAGAATAGAATAGAATAGAATAGAATAGAATAGAATAGAATAGAATAGAACAAAAAAGTTAAAGGTGCACAAACAAATGTAAGCCATTTTGTTAGTATAATGTCAGTAAATCTGAATGGATAAAAAAGTATTCATATAATTCACAAAGAGTGTTTGAAGAATAGAACAAATAACACAAATAATACATTCAAAAGTTAAAGGTGCACAAACAAATGTAAGCCATTTTGTTAGTATAATGTCAGTAAATCTGAATGGATAAAAAAGTATTCATATAATTCACAAAGAGTGTTTGAGATTGGCTTGCTTTCTGATTGGCTAAAAAAATGTTATTATATTTTATTTTTTGCTGTTTATCAGAAAGGCTCGGGCTCTGGCTAGCTAGCGAATGTATACATGCATTTCGAGAAAGTCAAGCAACATGTTAGAAAAAACAGACAGACAGACAGAGAGATTATTACAGATTACAGATCATTAGCCTGATAGAAAATAATGTCTAATCCATGAAATAGACTCACTTATATGTGACCCTGGACCACAAAACCAGTCTTAAATTGTACAGGGATATTTGTAGCAATAGCCAAAAATACATTGTATGGGTCAAAATTGTATGCCAAA